GACGACATGGAAGCGCTTTGTGACGATTTCGATTCCGTGGCCCCTATCCCAGACATAAAAGTCGGGCACGGCTAGTCTGCGGTTGATAGCGAAGGTGCTGGCGCGGTCTTCGAAGCGGCCGTCGTCTGCCCACTCGAAGCGGAGCAGACCATCGGTGAGGATGGTGAAGCGGTACTTGTCGCCAGCGACAATGGCATCAGGGTGCGCGACCGGGCGCGTCTTGAAGTCGTAGCGCGCTTTGGTCTTTGTCATGTTCATGGCTTGTGAAGAAGCAGGCAGAGCAATGTCAGGCAGGCCGACAAGCTGGCGGAGGAAGCATCTTAAGCAGAATCCGGGGAAAGCAAAGCTCGGACGGCATGGGCTGGGTCAAGGGAGTCGATGCGCATGACCTCGGCGGGTTTATTAGTGACGAGTGCCAGGACCGGCGAGCCCCCTGCACGGCAAGTCAGGCGACGACCTATAGTCGCTCCAGGGCCATGCACACACGACTCCATGGTGAACGCCTGGGGAAAGGCGGTGAAGTTGAGTGTGTTACGAAATGGGCGTGAGGACGAGCCGCGTGCTGGCCGTCATTGGAAGCCCGTCACGGCCATGGTCGTCCAACTATCCACCTAAGTAGCCATGCTGCAGGGCAGCTGCAAGGAATGGCGCCAGAAGACCGGCGCCATTGCACTGCATGTCCACATCCATGCTTGTACCATGGTTCTCCTTGAGGCCAAACACTGGTACAAATGTCATGTCAACCGTCTTGACCAAAGTAGAAATTCCACGTTTTGATTCTGCCCTTTGACGAGGACCGATGATGCTTACTGCATCCATGGCCCCACCCCCGCACATCTCCATTAGGTTTACATCCTACTCAGACAGGACACACATGTAAAAGAAGGAAACCAAAGTACCAGATACCCGACCTGTTCACCTTACCCCGCTCATCGCCGACAGCGCTCTTCAATGCCTTTGCTCTCAATTACTCGTCAAGTCCATGTCTCTCACCAGCCTATCCTCATCCTTCTTGTACGGAATGCCAGCCTTCTGCCTAGCCATGTCGTTGATCCACTGGCCGTTGGGCTTGATATGCTCACCCTTGGCGAGCTCGTCGGCCAGATACAGCCAAGCCAGTGCATTGCCTACCGTGCTGACCTCATCGCTGACATGGTGGCTGGCATACTCGGACATGGTCGTGTGCAGTTCAGAATCAGTGAATAGATCGTAGAGATGCCTTGCAATTGCATCATGGTCACCAGGCTTCACAAGGAAACCAGACTTGCCGTGCTGAACTTGAAGCGGGATACCGCCAGCACGAGTTGCAATAATGGGAGTGCCCTTGTGGAGCGCCTCGCTGACCTTGACCTCGAAACCCTCGCGAGTGGAGAGCTGTAGAGCAACATGGGCGCAAGACATGAGCGTGTTGAGCATCTGGTCCGAGGGGCCAATACGCATCATGATGATATCCTGTCTGATGTCTTTATAGTCGTCTGCCAATGCATCTGCTGCCTGTTTAAAGATTCTCGTAGCATCGGGATCATCAACAGCCCCATGGCCAGCAATGACGAGTTGCGGAATCTGCTCGAGGGGCGCATCCTTCATGTACACCTTGCGCAAGCGAGCATACGATGCAAGAACATCCGGAATTCCCTTTGACGGGTCGAAACGAGCAATCTGAGTGATGTACTTACGATCCGGGAGGGCCATTGGACCCATACCCACTTCAAAGCATCGGACTCTGAGGTTATGCATGTAGAACTGTTCGTCCCAGTGGTGCATGTGCTTGTTGAGTCCGTCTAGCCAGTCGGTCGTGGCAGGCATGAATCCCACCTTCTCTGCAGGGACATTCTTGGGAACAAAGGCGCGAACAGGATGACTGACAAAGATGTCACAATCTTTGATATGGTTCCAGACCCAGTTCCACACTTCAGACGTGGCTGTTCCCTCCTGGTCAGCAAGATCGGCCCGCACCTGGATGTGGCTGCGGAAGATGACGGGACGGCCAGGGTCCTTTTCTTTTGCAATCTTGACAAGACTAGGCATCTGAGGGTCGTCGACGATAATTACGTCGGCACCGCCTTTGTCACGAGCAGAGAGTGGGCCACCAAACTCGGTCCAATGACACTTTGCTGCCTCTTCCAGGACCCATTCGTCAAGTTTGGCTATCTTTTCTTCAGTCAGGCGCTCGCCGTCCGTTGCTACGCCTTGAAGGATGTTGTGGTTGTCTTTGGTGATTCGGAAAATTTCATTCTTGCCAAAAGGGACGTACCTGCGGACTTTTTAATACGGAATAGCTACAGTTGTAATTGATAAAAACGTACCATTTGCAATCGACTCCGACAAGGCGCAGATATCGTATCAGCGCGTGTCTCATCAGCGCTACTCCTCCGCCTTGTGCTGTGCTGTTGAAGAAAGCAATTTTGACATTGTTTTTCTTGAGTGAGTTGGCATAGTGCATGGTTGCAGCTCCTGTCGTGTCGGCCCTGACGGTATCCTTGTAGCTGTCGAGTTCAGTGATTTTCACGCACCCGTCAAGATCAACCAAGACCTGTCGACGATGGCCCATCTGAACCAGAAGATCGCCTCTGACATTGAAGCGCTTGGAGGCCTTCCTGGCCATGTACTCTGCCTGTTGGTCCACAGGCATCGATGTGTGCTCGGCTTTGTCATGTGGCTCAATCGGGAAAACAAAGGGTAGGATGTCAAGCTCCTGCCACAGACGCACGGCTAGATGGGGACTCAGACGGTGGAGCTCGGCAGTCACGCCAGCGCCCATAGGCTTCAAGACACGGTCCTCGCGGTATTCACTCAAGAAGGTGGTGATTGCGCTGATCAGGGCCTCGGGGACATCTTGTTCCGATTCAGGCGTGGACACATACGATGTGGATTTTGACGAGTCGTTGGACGAGTTGCGTGTGCTTCGCGCCGTCGCCAAAGGCTTGGTTTCGCTGCTGATGGTGTATCTTCCGTCATGCAAAGCAATACAATAGTCGATTTTGCCGTCTTCCGATTGGCTGACGGCGAGACCAGCATACACAGCCTGATCGTGCAACATATGAGTAGTGTGTTTGGGCAAGAGGGGAAAAGGATACTGACTTCAACAGCAGTATCAAGCGTGCCTTGCTCTTCTTTTAACCTGTGCAGAGAGTCCGACGACAGGAACGCGGTGACGCTTCGCTGACGTCGTTCGAAGGTGGGCCGACGGTGGTACGTTGGCCGCCACTCAGCGGTGTTGTCAGCCGATGCGTGAAGTGACATGGCAGGCAAACGAAGTTGGCCTTGTGCGTGGTTTGTAGTAATTTTACTATGGGAAGATGGAGTATGGATTGCAGTGGAATAGTTAATAGTTTAACGTGTGTCACAGCGAGTGATGGTAGACTTGGATAGTTGGATAGTATTTTGTATGCATTTTGACCTCGAGGCAGAGGCAGTTTATATAGACGGCTCGACCTGGCTCATTCACAGACCATATACTGTGACTTGCACAGAGAGTGGAATTCCCAGTGTACACATTGCTGGGCACGGCAACAATGTGACGTGGAGCAGGGGCGTTTGAGGGCAGGTGATAGGCTATGGTGCAGGGCAAACGGAACGCGGGCCTATTGACCAAGGCGTGTTGCCTATCGGAAGCAGTGAATGGAGCAATAGGCAGTCACCGGGTACTGTAGGCGTGGCGAGAAGCAACGGGCAGGGCAAGATGGGTTGGAGTAGGGTGACACGACGATGGGCGGACGCAGGACGAAGTGGTGGTAATGTAGGGTGAGCCTCTGCATCGGGGAAAGGCATAGGCGAGGCCGCTAGCCGGCTCGGGTGTGATTACAGCATTACCGCTTTGCTCTACCAAGCGAATACGGCCCTGTCTAGTCTTCCCACTTGGGATGAGATTATGCATTTCTATATACATGTATGCATATATCCATACGTACACATATCCGCTTGGTTTGGTACATGTGAAGGACCCTGCCACGGCAAGACAAGATGGGCGCGCAAGTTGCGGGGGAGCGGCCAACGGAGTCCACGTCGAGCCGTCTAGGGCGTCGTGTAGCCATCGTGATGGTGAGTACAAGGACTCTTGTGTTTAGAGGCCGAGGGCGAAAATGCCATTGCACGGCACGCAACGCAGCATCGAATACTGCATGGTGCCGCTGTGCCTAGCCTGGTTGCGGGTGTATGGCGACACATCGTGATGAGCTGTGCCACCCGTAGCAATAGGCGCCGTGCATTCGTGCAAAGGGAGAAGGCTCGACATGTCAACATGTCGACATGGCATAGGGAGTCCAATGGCATTGGCAAAAAAAAAGGTGTTGTCCCAGGTGGAAGGGGACGCTCACGTGCAAAATATAGCCGCGCCCAATGCGGCCTAGTACAGCGGGACGGGCAGACTTAGCGCGGGCATGGGTTCCGGGCAGCGTGTGGAGCGGGTGGACGGCCTGGATTGGGCGCAGAGACAGCATGCATATCAGCGGTATAGCACTTCGCACTATGTATGTATGCATGTGTGTAGTATGGGTATCCAACCATGCGTGTAGGCAGTCGTAAGCATGTGCTCGTCGGTGATGTCCCCAGCAGACTGGCGGCCGTGGCGCGAATGGCCCTGCCTTGGTCCCTTCCGCCCGCCGTACTCGAAACGATTCTTCCTCCGTGCAGCCAAGCATCGCACTAGGCTGCTGCGACCCACCCACCTTCCGCTCAAACCTCAGCCATCTTACTTACCCTCACAACACCAAGCTGTCTCCGCCTCACACTGGCCCCAACCCCAACCCCAACCCCCAACCACCACCACCGCCATCTATCCATCCAGCCCCTGGCGCGCCCACGAGCAGGCCCATTCCTCCGCCTAGTCTCTTGCTCCGTGCTACCTGCTGGCCCTGCGCCAACAGCCTTGCGACCCACCGCCGCCTACGCGACCGTCGCATTCCGCACCCGCCTCTTCGCGTCTCCCCAGCCCGCAACGCGCAGCTTCCTGACTGTCCATCTTCGCTTCTTGTGCCCCCGCTTACCTCCCCATTGTGGCCATGAACCACTATCCTGCCCGCGTCATGGGGGGCCCCCAGGTTGGCCCAGCCCAGCGCCTGAACGAGCTTCTCGATAGCATCAAGGCCGAGTTTGAGACGGAATCTCAGCGCAGCGTCGAATATGAGGGGCAGAGTGAGTACTTCCCACCGCACCAGAGCGCACCACGCATACACAACGTCTTGCCATGGCGCTCGTGGCTATGCAAACATTCGACCACGTTTTCCCTAGTCTTAAGCTCGACAGCGTCTGCGCACATGCTAACCACCACCCCTTCACAGTTTCCCGTCACATTCAAGAAATTGAATTGATCCGCAGCAAAGTTTACTCGCTCGAGCAGTCACACAATCAGATGAAAGCAAAGTGAGTAGCTCTATTACTCTCGGCCTCGCATGCCGCCATCGCACATACTGATCCCACGCAGATATGAAGAGCGCATTGCCCAGCTAGAGCGTGAAGTCGAGGCTCGCGGCGGACCCAGCCAGAACTCGCAGCACCACGGCCCCTCGCAGCCACAGCCGCCACAGATTGGCCATGGACCCAGCAATCTCTTTGGCGGCATCATGGCGGGTAGTGCTGCCCAGGGTGGCCCGGGACTGGCTCCTCCTCCACAAGAACCACCGCAGGGACATGGAATGCCACAGCAGCTTGGCGGTCCTCAAGGACCACCAGGACTGAACCCTGCCCCAGGCCCGCCACAGCACTTCGGTGGCTACCAGCCCGGCCCATCCGTTAACGGTGAGCTTCACAGACCTTTCTTGCACTAATAGAACATGATAACTGACATGGCCAGGCTACGGACCCCCCCAGCCTACTGCCTCACCCGGTGCTAAGCGTCCAGGCCCTGCCCGTGGACCTCCCAACCCAGCGACTCCTCAGCAGAACAACCCCGCCCCTTATCCCGGATCGCCCCAGGTCCCACGACCAACTCCTCCTCCCCACCACCAGCAGCCCAATGCCTTGATGCCACCCAATCACATTCCTCTCAGCCAGAGCAATGTCCTGGCCGACCTCGACATTGAGCAATTGCCTGAGAACCTCAAGAAGGAGGGCAGCGATTGGTTTGCTGTCTTCAACCCTCGCTCCAGGCGAGTTCTTGATGTTGACCTCATTCACAACCTACCCCACCAGAGTGTGGTCTGCTGTGTTCGCTTCAGCTTGGATGGTAGGTGGGTCGCAACTGGTTGCAATCGATCCGCGCAGATTTTCGATGTCGAGACTGGTAACCCAGTCGCCCATCTCCAGGACGGTAGTCTACCCGAAGATGGAGATCTCTACATCCGAAGCGTCTGCTTCAGCCCCAACGGGCAATATCTTGCCACTGGTGCTGAAGACAAGGTCATCAGGGTCTGGGACATTGCTAGCCGCACCATCAAGCATCAATTCACCGGCCACGAGCAGGACATTTACTCGCTCGACTTTGCCAGGAATGGAAAGATCATTGCATCCGGAAGTGGCGATAGGAGCGTCCGTCTCTGGGATCTTGAGTCCAACATGCAAGTTTCAAACTTCTCCATCGAGGATGGCGTCACCACGGTGGCCATTTCGCCCGACAACCTCTACGTCGCAGCCGGTTCCCTTGACAAGAGTGTCCGTGTGTGGGATATCCAGACTGGCCAGCTTGTTGTCCGTCTCGAGGGCGAGCACGGCCACAAGGATAGTGTCTACAGTGTTGCTTTCGCTCCTTCTGGTAACCGTCTGGTCAGTGGCAGTCTGGATAAGACTATCAAGATGTGGGAGCTGTCTACCCAGAACCGCTTCGTTCCCAATGGAAACCACCCTAGCGGCAAGTGCATCCGCACATTTGAAGGACACAAGGACTTTGTTCTCAGTGTCGCGCTTACCCCGCACGGTGATTGGGTGCTCAGTGGTTCCAAGGACCGTGGCGTCCAATTCTGGGACCCCCACACTGGTGTTGCACAGCTTATGTTGCAGGGACACAAGAACTCTGGTATGTTTATCATTATGTCCTACGCACGCAGATCATTTACTAACTGGCTGTTTAGTCATTTCCGTCGCTCCCAGCCCTACAGGAGGCGTCTTTGCTACCGGTAGCGGTGACATGCGCGCCCGAATCTGGAGGTTCGATAGGTACCCCGGACCTTAGACAGATCCTGAGATTGCACTCTCGCTGCCGCCGCCGCCGCCGCCACCACCACCCCAACCATCGTCACAACCTCCACCGTCATCACTACCCCAACCACCACTGCGGCCTTCAATATCCTCGCTCTGGGGTCTCTCCCCGACTATTACTTGATGGTTCCGCTTTCTGATGACATTATTTGAATTATTTTTCGGGTGTTTTTTTTCATTACGGTGTTGTCGACAAACAAGTGCTTATGCCCCATTCTTATTACTGGATGTAACAGATGAACGCATACGGAAAGAAGGGATTTGCTATCTATTTGTTTTTTACTCTTTTTTGATTCCCAGGCTTTTATCACTTCCCTATCTATAGCTGAAGTATCGGTCTTGCTTTATGAATCCTTGTCTTGCGTGATTTTATGCAGTGAAGGCACTAACATGGTGAATACGTCGAGGCGGATATCTAATATTAGTCAAACCTTCTGTGTCGATTATGGAAGAGAAGCAAGACGAGCGGATACGACCAAGTACCAAGTGAAAATGACCCTTGTAGTGCAAGAGATCAGTGCAACGTAAGCTGAACATACTCCAGACGTGACATGAGCATGTGAACCGCATAGATCTTGTCCTACGATACACATGCATACTATATATTTAATTGACTCTGTGTCACTCGGGGAATACGATTTTGCTTTCTTTCTTTCTTCTTCATGATCGGTGTGTATGGACTAAATGAAGCGATTAAAGCTGCTGACGTAACCTAGGTAAAAAAAAAACTTGTACGTGAACTCTTTACTTTCTGAAAAGAAAAAGAAAAAAAGAAAAGATTTTGAAGTATATTATTGTCTAGTTTTATTTTATTGCGTGAAGGTAGTGTGTTAGCGTATTGAAGAGAAAAAATAGGGTTAGTAGGTGAGTTAAGGGCGGGGCGGTATATATATATATATATATATATATATGTGTGTGTGTGTGTGGAGAGAGAGATTCAAAAGGTAAGTTGCGAGGATGGGGACGTGGTGTTGTTTGTAGGTTTATGGATAGATGGAGAAGATCGATGGTAGGGGACTGTGTATTTGTTATAAAGAGGTGACGATGTAGGATTGAGAGAGAGAGAGATAGTGTGGGGTAGGAAGAGGTGACCGTGGGAGGGTATATGACGTGGTAGTGTAAGGTTAGAAAGGAAAGGGGGTTGTGTATGGGTGTGGCGGGGGTTGAGTGTGAGTGAAATAGGTGGTTTAGAGTTGTGACAAGGGGAATTTATAGTCATAGGGGGGGGGGACGTTGTGGGGTAGGCTGGGCTGTTGAGGGTGAAAGTGAAGTAGTGGTAAGGGAATGGTGTGCTTGAGTGGGTGCCTAGCAGTCAGTGCCTCGGTTGTTATCGTTGTTACGCATGTCTGTTGGCATTTCACTGCATTTACGCGCTCGTCCATTCAAATTGATTTTTTTGTTGGCACAAACTGAAGTTTCCAAAGTGATCATTGATCTGTCCTAAACTATTTGCTGTCCAGCCTATTGCAAAGAAAAGCCTGCAGGTATTTCCGTAATCAAAACATTCAATCAACATCCCCACATGTACTCTGCCTTCCATTACTCTCCATTAAAGCCACCCTGGGGCTTATATCTCGTTATTGCCGTTTAAAACCCCAATCCGTGACGCCTAGCCTGACCGTGACTTCACCCGCAAACATCACACGCGTATTGCTCACAATTGTAAGCGCTTAATCAAGCTTACGTCGCTTTGTAGAATTCTTCCGCTCGCTGTTCCTACCCAGCTCGAACACAGCCTCAGGACTCAGACCCTTGAATAGATTATCCCGCTGCGCCTTGATAATAACTGCTTCCTTTTCAGCAGCAAGACGCTCGGCTTCAACGTTTTTGCAGCGCTGCTCAAGGTCTAGGCGTTCTTCTGTTAGGGCCATGAGGTGGTCGTCGAGTTTTGCAATATGTGTCTTGATGTTTATTTCTTTGTCTTTGAGCGAGGCGAGGGATTGTTCGATGTCGTTGTGAGAAGTTTGCGGAGCCTGTTTGTGTTAGTATGGCTGGTTCTAGTAATTTAGAGGTGGAGGAGTTACTGGAGTGCTAGCAACAGTGGCAGCAGTGGCAGCAGCAGGAGTAGCAGGAGCAGCAGGAGCAGGAGAAGGAGGAGGAGCCATATTTGCTGTTGGTGCACTGTATAAAGCTCGGAATGGGACCCATGCACGCCGAATCTGTTCCTTGACGGGTTCTTTGGCGTCCTCGAAGTCGAGGGTTGCATCGCTTTCTTGGCTTTCTGGGAGAGTGACTGAGAGTTGCCTAACGGACCTGGCCAGCTTGGCTCTTGCTTCGTCCTCGAATTCACCGCATGCCGCCTTCAAGCCCTCAAGAATGCCTTTGTTGACTGGCAGAGGAAACTTGAGTTCGGACATGCCATTGCTTTCGGCTTCAATAGCTGCGAGTTTCTTCAAGAAGTAGTATCGCACCAGTGCGCCATGCTTGCCGCGCGAAGGCCTCTTAGGCATCTTGAATGCAGCTGCATTCTCTGCTCTCGAACTAATATTGTGGTTGCTATGCTGTTCCGAGTCTCCAGTAGCGCTATCGTACGAGCTGAATTCGAGGGTAGCTGGCTCGCCCTCCTTAGTAGGCGGGTAAAGCAAGACCCAGACTTCCTGAGCTTCACCATTCGGCTGCTTACGGACGTCGCCGAACAGTAGCATGAATGAGATAGCGTCATTCTCATGCTTTTGCGTCTTAGTGATGACTTTGTTGAGGGGTAGATATTCTAGAGAGGTTGCAACGGGCTCCCCAAGTTGTTTGCAGATTTCAGCTAAGTTCTTAGAAGCAACGTACGTTGCTGTAGCCGTGGAAGCCACTAATTATATTTAGTAGCAATATAAGGTAAGAGGGGGATGGCTCTGCTTACTAGCGGTGGGGTGTGTTGTCCTGTTAACGAGACTAGGAGAGTGGAGTAGATAAGAAGCACCGAACGAGTGTAGTAAATAAAGCGCGCGGTTTGTTGATTCTAACGCGTAAAATATTAGTAAGATAGCTTTCACTACCCAAGTGAAAGACTATATCTAATCTGGTCTAGTTTGTTATCATGCAAACGCGGGAGATAGGTATTTACTCAGACATTGAAGTGAAACTACATTAGCGATGCCGGCATTAGCCTCACGGGTAGGTAAGTCTAGACTCTCACTCTCTTTCTTAGTTTCACTATATCCTTATATAGTATATGTAACTAAGTTCTCGCGATCTGTATATTTTAAATAGAAAAACTATTCTAGTGTTCTATAATGAAAACTCCCTCCACCTATATATTATTCCTACTAGCATTTGAAATTTTCATAGCCTCCATGATCACCACCAATTAAGAGCATTCTAGCTTAAACTAATTCCTATCGCCTTTTACTACATACTTGATCTGGCCTCGTGCTCTCCCCCACCGTTTGCACCAGCGAGGGCGCTAAGCCGGACCCGAATTCCTACGAACCCTGCGTTGTTGGGAAGCCTTCTCATGCCAATCCAGAATCCTCCTAGTTCGTTCCTGGTGAATGATGCAATGATAGATATAGTGCTGAAGCGCCCGGCGTCGGCATTGAACAAGCACAAGGGTTGTCTGGCGAAGCCGTTTTTCGCAGACCGTTTTTAGAAGATTAATAAACGTCTAGGTGATAGGAATACAGTTTATTTAAACTCTACAGGCGAATTTTCTATAGTGAGTAGAAAGTAGCACTTAATTATTGTGTAAAGCTGTAGCTAATTAGTAGCTCTTGTAAAGGTAGGTAAGAGGTTAATTTTAGTACTATTAATATCTTGCTTGCTAATAACAGTTTCGCTCTAACTAATGCTTATTTCTATATTATTTAGAAGATCAAATTAGGTTTTAGAGATATAATAACTATATACATAAAGCGTCTCTATTTTTCTAAGACTACTTCTATATAGAATAACCTACGACCTTCTATTTACTTATAATGTAATAGTGAACAGAGCTACTCGCTACCCTAGGCTCTTTCACCGACGATTTAGCGGAGGTACAGGAGTTGAGTGTCGCCTGCTGTGGTTAGAGAACAGCCACGGACACTAATTAGCCGGACATTAAAAAGGATACAACTATCTAATTCTCTCAACCTCACCCCATCGCAATTGAAGTACAGGGCAACCGGTCTCTACATAGAAGGCGTTGCGGTCTCGCACATTCTCTGCGCGCCCAATGGCTGCTATCACGCGAGCCGTAGGTCAATCAGGCCGTCGGTATTTCGTTGAAAAACTTCTATAAGAGAATCTAGGGCCGCTTGGTCGGGTATATCTCGCTTCGTGCGTCTACTCAAGATTACTTTCTTCATGATTCGCTAACGCACCCATAGAGCAGGTAATCAGCAACACGTCTTAAAGAGCGTACCCTAAAACGACTTCAAATACTTCCAAGACACGTCCAGTAACCTCAAAACCTCGCCTTACATCCGTGCAGCAGACGACGCGCTTCCAGATCACTCCATGTTCACCTACAAGTACTTCAAGGACCATTTACTTTCCTTCGCTCAGAAAAACTGTCTCGCTTCCTCTCATGAAACGAGTATTAAGAGACTCCCTGCGAGGCATCGCGACATTACACGAGAAAGAAATCATGCATACGGATATCAAGCTCAATAAAATTATGCTGGATTGAGACGAGGACGGAGCGGTAATAGAACCATCCAGCAGGTCCAGCTTGCCCGATATCGTAGACGCCGCCTATGTCCCGGACGATTCTGCCATCGTGGGAAAGACAGATTGGGAATTGGATGTTGGCGAAGTCCAGAGGGTGCATGCTTTCTAGTCAGATTGACAAGTCATCTGACATCTTCTCCTTTGGGATTGTCGTAAGTCTCCGTTGTCTGACTTACGGTCTTTTTTCCTCTTGCCAACGTGCTGAAAAAAAAATACAGTGTATCTACTATGCCCTGGCTTAAACGAGTTATTTTCGCCGTTGCGGACGAAGAACGCAAGGAGGGGGGCGAGGATAAGCTTGCTATAGTTCTCGAGAGGCAATTATCTTACTTCTCTGATCTAGACAGCCCTTGGGCCCAAATATTTACTGCCGTCGCAGAGGGCTTCAACAAAGAGTTTCCTCGGGAGTTGTTCGCATTGTGGAAAGATATTGAGCGGGAATTCAAGAACTTAGTCGGGAACACGACGAGGATTGATTTGAAGAGGCGGATCACAGTCTATGATGCTTTGTCACATCGTTGGTTTGTAGATGTAGTGTGATTGAGTTGTTTGTTCTGGGTAGAATGAAGAGACGCAGGGAGCTCAAACATATTTCTGGACGCTCTATTAGATGGCCTTTGCTGAATGGTCGTTGGGTATGTCATCATATTCTTTTGTGATATGCACTGCAAAATACGGGCTCATGTCACGCGCACGATGGATGCATTTGATAGCACATACTAATACAATTTGAAGGTTCGAGCGATTATGATAAGACGAGTACTAAAGACCTTGAATATGTAGTAAAAGCAATAATGAGTACCCTGCACCATGACTCCAGCGACCGTTGAAGGTACTACTCATCATTCTTAAGCGTGTAGTCCTCGTAAATTTACCACAACTGGCAAGTGGGCTCCTTGACCTTGCACTGGAAGCTCTCTCTGAACTCCCTTGAGTTGGCCATCGTGCCCAAAATCCTAGCCCACTTTGGAGCATGCGGATCGGTGTAGATCCAGTTGATTGCGGTATCTTTGCGCGTCTTACCACACCACCAGTTGCTATAGCTGACAAAGAACATTTGTTCCTGGGTGAAGTGATCCAAGCCAGGAAGGTTCTTGTTGGGGGTCTCGGCTGAGCGGCGCTTCCATGCTTGGAATGCTGCTGACAGGCCACCTGCATCGGCAATGTTCTCACCCAGTGTAAGACGGCCATTGACATGGAGAGGCTTGTCGTCAGGTCCTGGGACAGTGAAGTTGGAGTATTGTTCAACAAAACACTCGGTCTTCTTCGTGAAAGCATCGATCGTACTCTTGGACCACCAATCTGTGAGGTTGCCATTTTGATCGTAATGACGGCCTGTGCTGTCGAAGGCGTGGCTGAGCTCATGACCCGCAACAGAGCCAAACGCACCATAGGACATGTATTCTGGGATTTCGACATCGAAGACAGGGAACTGCATGATACCCGCCGGGAAGACGATTTCATTGCCAGGGGGGTTGTAGTAAGCGTTCACTGAGGTCGGTTAGAAGACGTCGTTGAACATGTTCAGGGTACAATCACTTACCGGTTGGGACAGTCATGCCCCACTCGTCACGGTTAACAGGCTTGCCAAGAGCAGACCACTCCTCCTTGACAGAGAAAAGACGGACAGCAACCTCGTTCTCAAAGAAGGTATCTGAAGAGACATTGACCGGCTCATAGTATTTTTCAAGCGTAGGCGGGTCCATAATGTCTGGGCTCTTGGTTGGGTAACCGATCTTCTGAACGATATTGTGAACCTTCTCGACTGCCTTCTTCGTAGTATCATCATCCATCCATTGGGCTGCGTTGAGCTTCTTGGTGAACTCAGTCTTGATATCAGTGACGATTGTGTCGCCGAAAGTCTTAGCCTTGGCAGAGAATGCCTTTTCTACGAAGAAGCGACTAAGGATCCAACCTAGGCCATTATCGACGTGTCTAACGCACGTACGCCATCGCTCGGGAGCAGAGTCGGGGTCCTGCTAAAGTCAGAATATACGAATGGAGATCAAAGGATTATATGCATACCCTGCCAGAGAGTACGTTGACAAAGCGGCGGTATGGCTTGACAGCGTCTGCATCAACGTAACCGGAAAAGGACTGGACCGCCTTCCACATGAAGTATCCTTGGAGAACATCTTTTGGTGTTCCAGCCAGGATGGCTGACAAGTCTTTCAAGTACTTGGGGGTTGCCACGATAACACGCTCAACCTTAGTATTTTTAGGGGCTTGAGCTTCGAGCACCGCTTTCAGCTCAATCTCAGGGGCAATTGCTGCGGCCTCATCGATACTCATCGGGTTATAAGCTTTCTAAATTCTATTAGCTCTGACAAAGGTAGCATCCAGTATCATGTCTTCATATTATACATCATGTCGAGCACCTGGCGTCACCAGGAGTACATGACATACTATATGAAGCTCACAAGGGATGGACTTACGGTAACGTCTTCTCTGTCCTCCTCACTGGGAGATGCAGCCGCGAGCTTCTTCTCGAGATCAATGATGCTTGCGAATGTGGCCTTGTCATGATCTGGGTAGAGAGCACTGAGAACTTGGACAACAACGTCGCGGTATTTCTCAACAAGCTTCTCATCTTCATACCGCTCCTTAGACGGGAGTCCAATACTGCCAGGTGCGGCTACAGATACAACCACGGTGTCGGGATCAGTGTCATCGGGGCCAGTGCCAGCGGCTACAAGGCCAGAGATGCCATACTTGGCCAACTCGAGGATAGCGTCCTTGATCGAAGGGGACTCGGACGCGCCAACAGGGAAGGCTTTCTTGATCTCGTCCAAGATGCGTACAAGAGGCTGCACACCGGCACTCTTGATTTGGTCTTCGTTGAGACAGGCATCATAGGCGGCCTTCATCTTGTCGAAGTTCTCCTCATCTGCGGATTTGGAGACGGACATCAGCTTCATAGGCGAGAAGTAGGAATGCTATAGATTCGTCAGTTCTATTCATTCCTATGATGTTTTACGAGCTTACCTCGGAATCCTTTGGGTAGGGTGCTTCAAGAATGTGACGCAGGAGCATCTGTGAGTTTTCACTCATGATGGTACCCGTGAAGACATCGCCTTGGTCAGCACGGAGGTCGTGGCGGTCTCTCCATCCACCACAGACCAGCTCCTCAAAGTCGTCGCATGGATCAAGCTCCTTGTACCGGGGCGAGAGACTGTGTAGGACTTCAGACGCCGCATGTACGCAGGCTGGAGTCAGGCACAGCTCGCTGTCCTCTTGGTAGTCACCCGTGGGCTCATAACCGGCTAGCACGTGTCAGGGGTGATATATAGATTACAAGGGTGAATATACATACCTCGAGGGAATCCATAGAGAACAAGCGAAGCCGTAGCAGCAATAGCAAATATCTTGCGCAAGGCTTGACGCCTGGTTGAGTGTACTGCTGGCGCCTGTGGCGCCGTTGCAGGTGCGGCTGACGCGAGGAGCGTCTTCTCCGACATGATGTAGTGCTGGTGATGTGTGATGTGCTGGAAGGCTATTTACGCGTAGAAACTGAGTTTATGATGCCAGCCAGCTGCACACCGATGTAGTATGTTGATGGATCGGAGAGCAGATGGATGATGGAGCTATGATGGATGGGGGTGTGGCTAGAAGTGGAGATCCGGGGTGCAGCTAGCGGGTTGGCGCGGAAACGCTAGAACGGGACCTTGCATGTGCATGACTCGTCGTTTCCAGACGTCATCCATTCTGGCAGCTGACAGTGTTCATCAGATATGTAGATGGTGCCGCCTACCACGACACGTAGCCATGCGCATAAGAGCATGCGCATCGTTCTACGCCTCATTCGT